ACAACCCCTACAATGATGTGTTACATTTTACTATTCCTTACAAAACCGACAAAATACACTTTTTTTGGTTTACATGCACCATAGTAATAGATTAATAGAGGAAAATTTATTTACGAAAGCATCACAGTACAAATATGCAATCATCATAGGAGATTTTAATGTTACAAATAAAAGAAAAAAACAAATACAAAATTTTTTAAACAATTCAGATTTCACCCAAATCCACACCCCTCCTACTTTTATAATGCCAAATAATAGTGACACTACTCCAGACATTTTGCTCTGTACAAAAAACATCATTAACAATATCACAGAAGTAGAACTAATACCTGATTTAGGATCCGATCATCTTGCCATTCAATTTAACTTTGATATAGAAAAAAATCCACAAACCATTCCAGAAAACATCAAATATAATTTAAAAAAAAGTAATATAGAAGCTATAAATAATGAAATCATCCAGACAATGAACCTACATGAGAATATTTCTCCTCAAACAATTGACTCCTTTCTAAAAAATATCACCAAAATTACTCTAAAACATACTCCTATTTTAAAAACAAGCTTCTTTGCACATACATTACCACCATTCATCATAAAACTAATTAAAATAAAGAAACAACTATATAGAGAGATAAAAATTAATTACGACCCTATACTTAAAAGAAAATACAACGAATTAAATAAGGATATACATACATTAATTCTACAATATAGGGCAGATAAATATCTAGAAGCATGCCAAAATATCAACGTAGCAAAGGGTCGGTCATACTGGGGTGAAATAAAGAAACTCTCTCGATATAAAAAATATAACCACATTCACTATATAAAAGAAGACAATAAAATCTTACAAACAGAGCAAGAAATTGCTGATGCCAATGCAAGACAATTTGAAAAAAATTTTAAGTTTACGGAAAATGTAAGTTTTGATGGAAATTATAAAAATAATACACATAACTGGGTAAGAGATAACTTTACTCAAAGAAACTTAAATGAAAATATAGAGAATGTAACTGAAGACGAATATTTCGAGAGTTTGAACGGGAAGAATACGGCACCAGGGCATGATCAAATTCCTAGAATGGTTTTAAAGCAATTTGACCAGGAAATCCATGACCAAATAATAAAAATTTATAACTTCTGCCTGCATAATAGTTATTTTCCGGAAGAATGGAAGAAAGGAAGAATAATTACCATTCCTAAACCGAACTTGGATCACACTGTCCCAGGCAACTACCGGCCCATCACCTTATTGCCAGTTGTCGGAAAAACTTTTGAAAAAATTATTAAAAATAGATTAGAACAGGCCATTGGACATAAAATCCCAATATACCAATTTGGATTCAAGAGACAAACTTCCACTACTCACCCACTAATTGTTTTAACATCAAATGTACAACAGAAGAGTATAGAGGGAAATAAATCAACTGCGCTGTTTATGGATATTTGTAAAGCCTTCGATTCCGTATGGCACGATGGGTTGCTGAAAAAATTGGTGAAATTGGAAAGCCCGAATTATTTGGTATGGATAATAAAAGAATTTCTCACACAAAGGAAAATACAAGTAAAAATTGGCAATACACTATCCCCCACCTTTTCACCAGAACAAGGAGTGCCACAAGGCTCACCATTATCACCGTTCTTGTATAATTTATTTTGTTATGACATGTACAATTTGGACCACTTAAACATAAACAGACAGAGCTATATTCTCCAATATGCTGACGACACAGTTTTGATAACGCATGGAAAAACGACAACTGAAGCAACTGTGAAACTACAAGAACTAACCAATCAGGTATCGTCATGGATGTCTAAATGGAGAATCCTACCAAGTCCGTCAAAATCACGCCTACTACTGTTCCATCACAAAATAAAAGAAAATTCGCCCACAATAAATATTATGCGAAGTACAGTAGAACCATCAACATCATGTCGTTACCTGGGAATTTTGATAGACTCCAAGTTAAACTTCAAACAACACACAAGCCACACCAAGACATGTATTATAAACAGGGCCAAGCACTTTAGAAGCTTAACTTATAAAGACCAGGGAATAAATATTGCTGTGGCAATCAACATTTATAAACTAATCTGTCGCCCAGTGCTGGAATATGGATCAGTTCTTTTTATAAATTGCAGAAAACCCACCCTAACAAACATAGAGATAGGCGAGCGCACAAGCATAAGGAAAATTACAAAAATCAGACATCCTCAAAATTCCTTATTTAACCCATCCAATGAAGCCCTTTACCATATCACTGGAATACAACCCATACAAGAAAGATTGGAATACCTAGCGAAAAAATTTGCCAACAAACCCGAAAACCTTAATGTGATGGACATTGAAAATCCACAAATATTGTATTTCATAAAACATTTCATGAATTCCGCAAAAATTTTAATCTAAATTTTATAGGTTAGCTTCGTTTTCCTTTTGTCCTTCCTTATGTTAAAAAAACTTTTCCGAGGTCGTACCTGTACTTGTCAAATGTATGTAAATGCTCAGATCCGACCCCTGAGCGAGAAGCGAGTAACCCTGTCTATATCCCTTTGAATGTCTGTAAATTTTCCAAAGCTTTTGTTGTGCATTAGGTTCATTGATAAAGTCAAATTAAGGAAATTGTAAAAGTTAATATTAAACAAGTCGTGGCTGTATAATCACGGATTAAAGCCAATTAAATTAAAAAAAAAAAAAAATTAATGTGATGAAACCTTTGATTCTTAAAACACAACTCGAGACAACACCAAGGAGAAAATACCCAGAGAAATCGTTGTATGACTCACTCAGGGAATTGACAGAAGAATAATGAAGATATTAACAATATATTTAATTATAACATTTTTTTTTTTTTTGTAAAGTATAGAACATAAATTAAAATATAGTATTTGTTATATACAAAATTGTAATTGGGCAGGAAGACGAAAGTCGTTAGCCTTTTGGATTTCCAATAAAGTTTATTATTATTATTATTATTATTATTTTAGTAGTAGTATCGACATATATGTCGATACTACTACTAAAATTTGTTCTGTTTTTTCATGTTTGCACTAAATTTATTTTGTTAATATTTTTGAATAATAAAGGTTTTTTTTCACATTTTATTCGTTTTTTATTCGGTTTTCGAGCAAAACCGGCTATATTCAAAACATTTTTTGAAATTTTGGCCTTAATATAAAGTTTTTGAAAACGAAAGTATGTCTTATAAATCAAGTACCACAAATCTCAAGTTTGCTTTTTCTTTTATCTGTAAAGGCCAGGAAACCGAGAGTTTTTGCCATTTTTCCAACATTTTATTAAAGTGGATATAGCCGGTTTTGCACGGATGCTCCTCAAATACTCTGGACAGTTTTTACGAACACGTTACATTTAGTAAAGTAAGCAGAATTCTGTTTAAACATAAGTTGCAGACGCTGAACTTGTTTACAACAAAATATTTTGTTCAAAACTTTCGGTAAAATATTTTCCTTTGTTAAAATAAATGCAAACCCTGGTTTTCTACAAAAAAAATTATATTAAAATTTTACAAAATAAAATTAACAAACTACAAACTTATGTTAACAAATCTGATTTTTATAATAGTGTAGGAAGATAAAAATTTACCTTATTACGTATATAAATAAGGGTGCAGGTCCTTGCGGCATTTTTCTTCAAGTCTTCGATAATAAACAAGCTATTATAAATCGTCAAGATAAACATTAAAATCGACGGAGAAGTTACAACAAAATTCATTTGTTTATAATAATTGCTAATTTCAACAATTTTCTTGCAAATCGTTTTTATTGTATTTCATGGCATAAACAAATGAAAGTCGACAGTAAAAAAATCAGCACAAACAGATCAGCAGATATAAATTATTAAATGAAACAGTGTTTAACACTAAGAAATTAAATACTTAAAAATAAATTTGGAAAAAAATTAAAAATCATCATAATCTAGCGAATTATCAATTTTTAGTTAATAATCACGACCTACCAAGAAGTAGTGTTCCCTTTGACAAATTTTGACTCAATTTTGAATTTGTTAATATAATGCAAATTATTTGTATATTGTTTTATCGATGTGATAAAACGTTACCTTGAAAATGTTGCAGTTAATTACTTTTTAAAAGAAATTTATTTTGCATTGTTTTGGATTCAAATGGTATTTAAGTAACAAAATTATGTAATATTATAATTATGATTATTAAATAGCTAAAAGTAATTTTTAAATAATTGCAGATATAAAATTGATTTGACAGCAAAACAAGAAAAATATTTTCTTTATATTAATTTTCAATATTGTCAAAAATAAATGTACTCCTGAGAAAAAATCATATTTTTTGACAAACCTCAGATACGACTGGCAAAGTTTGATATCTGATGGTTGCATTTTAGGTTTTAGATCATGCACAAATTTTTAAGAGAATTACTTTTTTTCGTAAAATTAATAATACAATAGTTTCCCATATGCCGCCAACACACTGTAGAACACTGTATAACACGACGGAGAAAGCATATTATATTAAACTGCCTCGCTCGGATCTGCAGCCTCGGTCCCAAACAGTTAGATCGGCTCTTATATTAAGCTTTCTCCCTGTAGATACTATTTACACTTATGTATTAAAGGTTAATATATAAAATATATTTATATCATATTATACCTACAATATATTAAAATAAAAATAAAAACCAAAAATTACTTAAAAAAACTTAATAGTTGATTTTGATAATATCAATATTCAAAATAAACTTAATAATTTAATTTAATAAAAAGCCTAGCATTTTTTTTACTTTTTCAATGTTTTTTTTTAATTATTTGCCCCAACATTTAACTAAAGTAACATAATCGTGTTTGATAATCGGCGAAACCATAATAATCGCAGCTGAATCGAAATCGCAATCATGATTGTTCATTACTATTTTTAAACAATTACCAAAGTTTTAAAATTGTCTGTTGATAACTTATGTTTATTTTAAAGTAACCTATTTAAGAATAATTTAATCCTTGTTTTAAGGTCGAAGGCCCCCTTCCACAATCTTAAAGCCGAGCGATTTTGACTTAAACGGCGCCCCACCCGATGAAGCGCTCGAAAATGGAACGGAAACGCTCGAAGACCCACCCGAACTGCGCCCAAAAGTGCGCGAATGGGAGAAACACAAAGCACCATGGCTAAACGAGATGAAGCAGCACCAAGCCAAGAGAACTTCGACCTCGCCGGGTCCCGACAGAAAATTAAAAGTGACCACTGCGCCCGAAGTGGAAAACGAAATTGATCCGAAATCTCCTCCAGAAGTAGAGTTGAGGAAATTGCCAACCGAAAAACCGAGTCCAACCGAAACGGTCAAGAAACCGGAGAAACCTTCCGCGCTTTCTCAAGCCATTAAACCCAAACCAGCTGTGCCAATAACGAATAGATATAGTTTACAAAACTCCACGCCCAAGGAGATCCCTCCCAAACCGAAAACATCCCCCATCACCTCGCAGGATAAATTCTTAGTAGACAACGAACCTGCCTCCCACAAACAGTATTCCCTGCTTTTGGAGAGAGTTAAGAAACTCGAAATGCAACTGGAAAAACAATGCAGTGCACATAGTAAAGCCATAGAAGATTTGCAAAGCAAATTGAAAATAGAGGTAGAAATGCGAATTATGTTGCAAGAAAAAGTCGAAAAACTACTGCAAAACATTCAGGTTTGAACAAGTTTCGTACAAACTATAATTAAATTAAGTTGGCAACATAATATTGTTTAAAAACTATTGTTGGCATATAATAGTATTCTTAAAAATGCCTTCAATATATTTAAATGAGAAATTTAAAATAGTATCAATTCAAAGATTATTCTCTTTTTCCTACTATACATTTGTTGGCATCTAAAAAATATATTTATGCAAATTATAAAATTCAATTACATACCTTATTATACAGGTTGGTCCAATAGCAGTTCACTGCAATACTGGGAACTATTATCATTTATTTGATATAAGTTTTACAGTTAAATTATTTTTTCTACTCACGTGCGTAAACTAATACTTATCTGCATGCATGTGCCTGCGCAAAGTTGTAACTTTCCGCACGCAAAAGCGTTAATACAGGAATAAGATTATTAAAATTAAACTAATAGTAGTTTTAATAAAAAACAAAAAATATTACTAAAAAAATTTCATAATATAAGTGGCAACTGTGCGGTAATCTTGTAGAAAAAATGTAAAAGTTAAAAATAGAAACTCATAAAGAAAATTGCAAGATTGATTGATTGATGTATATAAATTATTTTTAAAAATTATCAAAAATAAAGCAAGATCAATAACAACACTTTCCATAAATTTCAGAAAATTTTAAAATATAACTAAAACGTATGCCTTCCTCTAGCTTTTAAAACTTCGACACAACATCTAGGCATAGATTTAGTTAATTAATCATTTCTTAAGAAATATTGTTCCATTCCTCCTGAAGTTGCACTGCTAACACCTGAAGATTATTTTTTGGCTGTTCTCGATCCTGCATTCTTCTTTCCATGATGCCCAAAGATGTTCAATGGGGTTTAAGTCAGGGCTGTAAGCTGGCTATTTCATTACAGCGAGGTTGTCCTCTAAAAATTGTTTGAACAATTCTTGCGCTTGGGTTCCCCCCATTCAATTTCTCTTTAAATTTCTATTTTGTTATCAGTATTATGTGAATTGAGCTAAAACTTTTTGGTTTTTACGATAAATCACTATACTTTTTATTCTGAATGCAGATTATATAGGTATACTATTAATTTTAAAGCTTATAAAATTCCCCAAAAAACAGTTTTTGATCAATTTTGTATGCCTTGCTTATCAAAAGAATAGATATATAATATCTTTGTGACCGCCCTTCTTGTGAAGAGTGTGACGGGTCTAGCTACTTCAGTTTTACTAGGATGCCTTTCTGCAATATGCTTTCCAAGAACATCGTTATTCATAATTTTAAGTTAATAATTACTGTTGCAAACAGTTAAACTGGTGTACAAAGTAAAACTGAATGTATCACGTACTTCCGATTGTATGCGTTTATTTTTTATATCCTGATAAAAAAATTATAGTGCTCCTTATTTAAAAACATGTTTAGGGAAAAAACGGGGGATATTAAAAAAGTTATAGATGCTTAATTTTGAAATACCTACCTATTTCGTTGTGACTAGTTTATTTTAGTTTTAAAACGTTATTTGATACATAAATAGTCTTAAAACCTTAAACAACAAAAAAATAAAATTAAATTTTTAGAACCTTTTAACTAACAAAGAACTAATCATGTCCATTAAAAAATTTTTAAGATAAAATCATTTTTTTGGCAATAAGCCAATAAAGGTGACAAACTATCAATCCAAAGTCTTTGTTCAGAAAATTTGGTAAATTGTGTAAAAAACTGCACATCTAAAATTGTTTATTTTTTATGTTGCATTATTCTTTATTGGCCCACCCTGTATACATATCTATTTATTTTTATATTTAACATAATATATTATATCCACAACTGTACATTTTATTAAATAAGTATCTATTTATCTATCTAATATGGTCCAGATATATTTTTTTAATCTGTAAATAAATACAATATTATTTTGCTAATAAAATGAAATAATTGAATTTTAAACTAAACTTAATTAATTATTACATGGATTTAAGTTTTTATCGCGCTTGAGCTTATTCTTAACATTAAACAAAATATTGCTCATTGTAAAACATAATTAAAACTAAATTTTATTATTATATCTTTTTGGCCAGGTTATTTTTTGTAAAGTATTTTACATTAACTGATTAGATGTCTTAAGGTGTATCAACAGTATTAAAAATGCAATAAAATTTTGCAAATAATTTACTGCAAATCAAATACTTTCATCTAAAAGTAAACTGTGATACATACATAGTAGACATTCCATATTGTATTTATGTTTACATCAAAATTATTTTAATAATTTTTTACATATAATTTACAAAATTTTGGTACTACACTTTTATACACTGTATCGACCTTATTTATTATTTTATTTATTAATAATTAAATTAAGTATTAATGTATACTAATTTTATACATAGGTATATATTTTTTGTAAATGGTGATAGGAATGCTTTGAATAAAAAAATGTAAAAAACCCTATAGATTAAAATACTGTACATTTTGGCACACATTCCATCAAGAATTATTGGGTTTTAAAATGTGTTAAATAAAATTTTGCCACTTTTTAGTATTTTGAGTTTAAAACCCTAAGCTTGTCTGTATGTATATAAAGTAAAAAATTGTACTTAGAAAATATTGTTGACTTAAATAAAACAAATCAATCAATAAACTTTTTTATTAAATCCCATAATAACATTTTAAAGTGCATATCAAATTTCTGATAAAAACCTTGAAATTATTTTTCAGACTGTGGGTTTTAATTATCATTTACTCTAGTATCTTTTCTTTGTTAACATGTTAAATGCAATTTATTTTAAATGAATCCATGAAATGAACATTTTAAATTTAATTATGGTAAGTAATAAAGTATAAAGTATTATTAGCTTGTTTATTGATATAAAATTTTATTCAGTAAGAAAACAATAAATTATAAATAAGAAAATTGAATGGGTAAAACATACGTTTTCTGTGGCAACATGGCACATTATCTATTTTCATTGGCAGGTTCACTTTGCTAGAACAAAAGGCCAAAATACAAAGACACAAACGCTTAACATCAAAATAATATATATCTGTGAGGACAATCAATAAACATACAATGTAAAACTCTATAGGTGTATTCAAGTAAATATAGGTGAAAGTGTTTCATCAATCTTAATAATTGAATGGTTTAAAATTAATTAATTAATATATTTAGTCAATTTAACATATGAGTTTCTGTACATCTCCAAATTTAAAAATTTGCTCTTAAAACACTAAAAAGTGTAGAATAAATTAACATTAACGTTTCGAAAATTGAAAAAAAGGAAAATTTAAAATAAACGGATGTGCAAAATTAAAGCAGCACCTTTTCAAATATCTATACAATTTGAATAAAACAGTTTTAGCATAAAGTTTGACAAAGTCCCAGATATAGTTTTGACGATTAAACTCGTAACGAAAAAGTGACGGAAATTATATTTATGTTTTCTTTGCCGTCACGAGTTTAATCGTCAAAACTACCTATATTAATTTTTAACTCAAATTTTTTACAAAACCGCTCACCTGCCCTGCGCCATAACGTTTACGTGACGCTGTAATTGTTACTAAATCAACTTAAAAAATACTATTTTTCGATTTTAAATTTGTGACTGTATCTTTAACCAGTGGCGGTTGGTGAATTTTGAGTATATATAGTTATTATATATAGGACCCACACATAAATTGAAGTTTGAAGTTCCCTGCTCCCTAATTAAGAAAATTCAAATTAAAGTGGTGGAATTTATAACTCACTGCAGTTTATCGACAAATTTCAAAATTTATTTAAAACATCCAAGTACTACAGATTTTATACAATTTTACCTTTTTTTAAACCTTTTACTTAAATAAAATTTTTAAAAATGGTAAAAAATCTGTTTTACTTGGATTTTTTAAGTAAATTTGTTGATAAACTGTAGTAAGTTATTAATTTGCACCACTTTAATTTAAATGATCTTAATTAGGGGTCACGCTGAAAAACTTTTTTTTCCCTTTTTTCAATTTAAATTATGCTTGCGCAAAAATTGTCTTTTTAATTTTATCAAACTAAGATATCGGTATACCCAAAATCCACCTGCCGCCACTAGTGACTAGTGACAGCTGTCTTTAACTAATCTGCTCAAGTCTCAGATTGCTGAAATTAGTCCCAAATTTTTACTAACTAGGTATATGAGAAGGAACAGGTTTCAGAAGAATTTTATATGATTAATTAATAATAATACCTTTAACAAAACAATATATTTCTCAAAACAAAATATTCTTCAAAACAATAAAAAACCAACATAATAACTCTAAATCAATATACCTATACAAACAAAATAAATAATTCTGTAAAGCATAATATTATATATATATATATATTAGGGTGGTCCTTAATAAGGTTATTTTCAAATTTGTTTGCTCCCAGGGGCTCAAATGCTTCCAAATTAATAAAAAAAAATACCCTGAAAATTTGAGCTCTTAATATTAACTATATTCTCTCTCAAGATAGTGCGCATTCCAATCTAAGTTTCCAATGGAAATAACATAGGAAAAATTACTTTTGTTGTTTATAATTTTATAACTTGGGAACGAATGAATTAAAAATTATAAATCATACATATTTTTATAGAGAATTTAACGCTCTACAAAAAAGGTTTCTTATAATTTTTTCATTAGTCTATTGGTTTAAAAGTTATTCAACGCCAAAGTTTAATTTTCACATTATTATTAATATTATCAAGGCTTTTTTTATGAGGCGCCGTTTGTGTCAAAATTAAAAGTGCTAAATAAACTTATTTTGTTTTATAAATAATTTTTTTATAATTTTTTTTTTGTAAAAAAATTTATAAAATAATTTTTTTATAAATTTTTTTTTTTGTAAAAAATGTTATAAAACAATTTTTTTATAAAATAATTTTTTTATAAAATAATTTTTTTTAAAAATAATTTTTTTATAAAATACCTAATTCTTTTTTATAAAATTATTTTTTTTAGAAAAAAAAATTTTTTTTTAAAATAATTTTATATAAAAATTATTTGGTAAAGCATATAATTAATTATTTATAAAAAAAAAAGTTTATTTAGCACTTTTAATTTTGACACAAACGGCGCCTCATAAAAAAGCCTTGATAATATTAATAATAATATGAAAATTAAACTTTGGCGTTGAATAACTTTTAAACCAATAGACTAATGGAAAAATTATAGGAGACCTTTTTTGTAGAGCGTTAAATTCTCTATAAAAATATGTATGATTTATAATTTTTAATTTATTCCTTCCCAAGTTATAAAATTATAAACAACAAAAGTAATTTTTCCTATGTTATTTCCATAGGAAACTTAGATTGGAATGCGCACTATCTTAGAGTTAATATTAATAGCTCAAATTTTCAGGGAATTTTTTTTATCAATTTGGAACTATTTCAGCCCCTGGGAGCAAAGAAATTTGAAAATAACCTTATTAAGGACCACCCTAATATATATATATATATATATATATATATATATATATATCGATGCCTGTTAAGTTGTCACTTCCGTAGTATAAACAGGGCGTCCTAACTTCCACATGAACGAAGGCTTATACAAGCATTTTAAAACTATATATAAGTGAAGGGGAACCTACGTAATCCGAATCTCTAGAGAGGGGAAAGGATTTCGCAAATAAATATTTGTGTACTATGGCCGTGACTTAGTCACTTCCATCATATATAGAGACAATTGCATCGTAGACACTTCCGACAGGGTTGCCAGATTTTCGAGTCTAAAAATAGATTTAGTCTAGTTATCTCTCTCCGTTGCTCATGCGGACCTTTTTTAATTCGAAACGCTTAAAGTAAATATTCTGTTATGTGCAACACTTAGTAACCACGATTCGTTCGCCAAGCGTAAGTACGGCACATTCGACGTTCGAAACTAGTTATTAAACTTGCATTGTTTAATAATATTATTATGTTAAATTATGTTTGGTAATGTTTTAATAATAATAATAATAATTTAATATTTTTTGAGTGGAGAGAATATTGCGTGTATTATTATTATATTATTTCCAAATTAAAATTATAATAATTATTATTTTAAGTGTAAGACATCCAAATTTAATATTTTTATTTTGTTTTTGTTATTTTATGTGTTGGGTTATAATTTCAAACTGCGCTGTGGCTAAATGATAAACTGTAATAAATCTACAAAAGGTACTAAAAAATAAAATGTCAAAATTTACGAATTAAAAAAAATAGTACCTACTTACATACGTATTTTTTAATATAATTTTTTCTCTCGTCATAAAAATGTTAAAATTAATATTTTTATAGAATTAATAAGGGTGTTTATCAAAGTGGACAACATAATAAAGTTTTGTAGATCTTATAAGAAATAATTATCGAGTCCGACACTTTTTTAAATAAATATTTTTCATTGGAGCTGTTATTTTCGTCGGTTGATAAATTTTTTTAAATGTTTAAAACAAAAATTTTAAAGCATATAAATTCATATTAACTTTTCTTCTTAGTTATGCAAGTTCTATCCACTACCGTATTTTTCCAAATAAAAAAATGTGCTAATATGTATTACATTTAATGTAATACCTAGTGGGACATTTTTTTTTTAAATATAATTTATATAAATTAGCTAAAAACTTTTAATCTTTAAAATGCTTTGTAAAATTGTTAAATTTGAGATACGGCCTTATGTGATAATTGGGACGATAGATCCTATCTTAAACCTAGCAGTATAAAACAATTTTATTAATATTACCTACCAACTTGTACTTTAAAAAGAAAAAAATAATAGCTGTTATGATAAAAAATAATAATTTTACTTGGCTATTTTTACCTGTTGGCAACTGTCTACATTTGAAAAAAAATATTTAATCTTTAATTTACTCAAAGAAATGGTATGTACAGGGTGATCCCCTATAATGTCGCTCCCCTTCAACTTGTGTCCCAAAAAAATTAAAAGCGTGGTTATGTAGGGAGTAAAAAATACTTTTCTCCTACATATAAAAAAAAAGAATTTTTTTAAGTACAGGGTATTCGGTTTTTCCTGGAACGACACTAAATTTCTTATTTTCAGTATTTTTTTGCATTTTTTGAATTTACACACTTTTTAAGACATATATACTTTGCAAATATATTTGTAAAAATTTTAGTATCTGCAGGGTGATCCCCTATAATGTCGCCCCCTTTAACTTGATGCAGTATTTTTTTTATATTATGTTTTTATTTATACAGGGTATTCGGTTTTTCCTGGAACGACACTAAATTTCTTATTTTCAGTATTTTTTTGCATTTATGAGTTTACACACTTTTTAAGACATATGTACTTTGCAAATATATTTGTAAAAAAATTAGTATCTGCAGGGTGATCCCCTATAATGTCGCCCCCTTTAACTTGATGCAGTATTTTTTTTTATATTATGTTTTTATTTATACAGGGTATTCGGTTTTTCCTGGAAAGACACTAAATTTCTTATTTTCAGTATTTTTTTGCATTTTTTGAATTTACACACTTTTTAAGACATACTTTGCAAATATATTTGTAAAAATTTTAGTATCTGCAGGGTGATCCCCTATAATGTCGGCCCCTTTAACTTGATGCAGTAATTTTTTTTATATTATGTTTTTATTTATACAGGGTATTCGGTTTTTCCTGGAACGACACTAAAATTCTTATTTTCAGTATATTTTTGCATTTTTTGAATTTACACACTTTTTAAGACAACTTTAATTTACTGTTCTGTTTTTGTGCTGCAACGCACGTCAAAAAGCACTGTTTTGTATTTTTTTTTGTAAATATTAATTTTTTATTTATAATGTGTTAAATGAGTTATTACGTATAATAAACCATATTTTAAT